ATACCAGCTAGCCCAACTTCAGTAACCCTACAAACGTCACTGCTGTTTAGTTTTCTGTCTTCATTTATGTTGGAAGTGATAGCAGAGATGTACGTTTGATTTTTTTCAGAAATCTCTCAGTCAGAACATGCTATATCATGTTTAGGTAACTAGCGAAACTAGCGAGCTAACTTCTGCTAGCTTCCAGCTAACTTCTAACTCCTTAAATGTAATACATTTTGTTTTCATGGATGCCTGGAAGTTAAACTTCATAGTTACACCTGGTAAAGCAGCAATGCTGATCGTTTTATTAAAGATGAAAGAATTTAGACAGTTTTTAACTCTCAGTGATGCTGCAGTGTTCATTTGACCTGAAGCATACGGAGTTTAGGACCCAGATTACTCCCAGATTTAAGAGACAAATATGACAATAACAACGGCCGCTTGCATGTTCTGCAAAAAAATGTGCTTTGTTGTGTATCTGACGGACAAACACCAAACCAGTTCCACATCACTGAAGTTGCACCATTTTTACAAACCAATTCTGGTTCATCCCTTTCACTCAACAATCGGCCATGTGCGTATGAAAACAAAGGCACTGCGCATGCACGTTTTACTCCCATTCTATCGCGATATTTCATTTTCCTATCGTTGCCTAACATTATACCGGTATTACCGTGAACGGTATAATATGGCCCAGCCCTAGTCAGAACAATGGTTCACTTTACTGTTGGTCAACGATGCTTTACTGAGCACACAAAGCACTCTATAACACACAATCACACATTCACATTCAGTGCTTTACTCTGTTTTGACTGCAATCACTGCCACTCACTCTGATGGATGGACTGGGGCCAATCTGTGGTTCAGTATCTTGCTCAAAGACACTTCAGTAATACACAGCACAGAATATAGCTGTGTGTGTGTGTGTGTGTGTGTGTGTGTGTGTGTGTGTGTGTGTCTGTGTGACGACCAAAAATTTGCATGCTACTATACTTGTAGGGACCAACAGTCACTTTTGCAGATAAAAATGTGGTTTTAGGCGTGGTGTGACAGTTAGGTGATGTTAGGTTCAGGGTAAGGGTCTAGGGACAGTATCATGTCAATGTCCTAACTAATTAGTAAAAACAAAGGTGTGTGTGTGTAACTGTCTCCTCGTTTCACCGTCAGCAGTCGGAATCATCATTGAAACAACAAATATAAAGGCATTTAAAAACAAAAGCAAAAGGCAGATAACACTTTTGTGGACAAAAAATATCAGACATAACTGTATGAAATGATCACGTCTGCAGCTACGCAGCGTTCACACTGATATTGAGCACCAGGCTTACCCGAGCCTCATCCCATGGAACAAGAAAGAATTCCTACAACAGGCTGCACTACAACATTCATTCACACAGGGTGCAAGCTTCCTATCGCACACAGGTTTCTGTTTTAAGGCTGATACTAGGCTGATTAATGTGAGGTGAGACTCCAAAATATGGAGTTATTGACAAAGATTGTAACCTTTGAAGCATTAGAATAACAGTTCAGCCACTAGTGTCTTACACACAGTTTCTTTTGAAATAGTAGTATTGCAGTACAGACTTGTCTTTGTGGAAAGTTGGTGATTAAATATCTGCCATTTATCCACATGATGTGACAGATTCTGAGTCACGCTGCTGTGGTTATTATCACTGTGATATTCTGGCCTTTGAGTGAAAAGATCAAGCTGTCTAACTACACAAACACACAGAAACAGTACAACATGAGTACCTCTGTCAGTGCAGCTCTTTTGTCCAGGTGTACAGCAGTGCTGGGTGACTACGCTGTCTCTCCATCTCCATCAATCCTTTAGCATCCAAAGGGAAAAAAGAGAGAAAACAAAGACTAAGCAACTGTCAGGCAAATACAGAGTAAGGCCACAAAGATAAAAGATGGCAGTATAAAAAATGGGGGCGATGCTGTACTCTACCCATGAATGTATTTGCTCCTTTCTGTCCCGTTCTCTCATTCTGTGTGAGGCTCACTGTTCCTCAGGCTTTCTCTCTGTGTTACACACTGATGCCCCATCTGTCGCCGCCCCCTCTCATTCCCATCCCACCTCATACATTATTAATGAGTTTCACACACACACGCACACACACACACTTCTCTGTGCATGTAGTACAGCCGAGGAAGCCCCCTCAGTTAGTTCAGGCTTATCTGAATTTTCCTATAAAGATTGAAAATGTGACGTCATTCAGGGGTAAAACCGCAAAGGATTCTGGGAACTCGTGGCAAGAGGTACTTTCAATTGAAAATAGTCACACAGCGATAAAAAGAAACACAAAAATGGCAAGAAGCTGTTGTGTTATTAACTGCAATA